AATGGTTGAAAAGAAAAAATGTGATTATGTTTGAATGAAGTGTACTTTATACAGGTTCATAGTACTAATGTTTTGACTGCGTGCTTAATGGTATATCAAAGAAGCTTCATACTACAGTGTAGGATTGCTCATGAAACAAGAGCAATGCGATATAGTGTCCATGACAATGAAACATGTCCACATAGTGTTGATTTTGAATAATATTTCTTAAATAGTAGGCATGTTGGTTGTGCAGTTCTATAGTAAACCTATCATGCCCGATATTCAAAACGAAAGAACATACAAAGTCGTAAACAAAAAAGTAAGTAACCTAGAAAATTAACATTAAATCCTACATGAAAAAAAAACAATCCCTTCAAAATGTACACGAAAGTCTTTGCAAAAAAAGTGTTAACAGTGCAATTAGAATGATGTCAGGTGGTCCTATTATGTCTTACCGGTGTTGGAAGATTCCTCGGAACCTCCACCTGTGACAGAGCATGTTTGGGTTACTGCATATGGATGGTTTTGTGAATATGGCGTCTGTATTCATGTATATCCCTTGTTATTTTTTTCATGTATTATCCCTTGTTGTCGATGTCTCGTTCGTTTATCACTGTAGATATAAGATTCTGGTGGACACTAGATAAAAGTTTTATTAAAGAGTTAATAAAGTTTATATTTCCGGAAATATATGTAAGGAGATCTAGGGTAAATGTAGAGAGAGAGAGGGAAGGAAGGAGGCAGGGAGGGAGGGAGGGAGAGAGGGGGGGAAGGGAGAGAGGGAGAAATAGAGGGAAAGAGAAAGAGAGAGAGGGAGAGAGGAAGAAATGGAGGGAAAGAGAAAGAGAGAGAGGGAGAGAAGGAGATGGCGATATAGAAAGGGAAGGAGAGAGAAAAGGAGGGAGAGAGAAAGAGAGATTGAAAGAGAAAGGAAGAGAGATAGAGATAGAAATGGAAAAAGAGATAGAGAATGAGAGTGAGTAATGAAACAACACTTCATCCTGCTAATACATATTTGGCCATTCAAACTCCTATTACTGTCTTCAATACCCCTAAAGCCTAACGATCATCCGTTGAACGTTAAAAAGCTCGGTACCAGATATCTGTCCTTACTGAGTTTTGCTAATAAGGACAGACAGAATTACAATAATAAGACGAAAGAAGCAGAAGAAGAAGAAGGAGACACTGTACCCAAACTTCATTACCTGTTTACCAACTTACGAAAACTAACTCTTACGGCTACTGATAGACTTACGGCTGACTTGGAAATACTGAAACTGAAATCATACATTAAATATATCATATAACATTAAAAGTATATGCAAATGTGACACATATGTTGAAATGTGAAACCTGTAAACAAAGTCCTGATATGTAGATAAGCAGTCATTAATTAGTGAAAGACACGAAAAGAAGAGAACATGATGTAAATTCATTCATACAAGTGTAAAAAGTGTAAAGCATGTTCATAATCAGCTGCATTGTTGGTGTCGATATTGATATTTTTTAAGAGTGTAAAAGGCTTGATGCAATGGTTACTGAAGTTCAAGAGAAGGCATGTAGTAGTGTAACAAGAGTAATAGTGGCCAGCATGCATAATGTACAATATAGTACACATATGCTATCATTTACTGGAGGATATATTCAGCGTCTGAAGGTCACGTCGTACATTTAAAAGCCGTTTTGCAAACCGTGTATAGTCTGTCAGTGCGGATATGTGCTTTACATTTGTCGCTAAAACTGGAATTATATAGGTCCTTCTGCTGATCGTCGTTGTGTTTGTACTGGCATAGCGTGGGATTTCAGCTGTTACTAACAATAGAAGCAACAGACATACTCTGTGAGAAGCAGCATTTACCACGTGTGTACATACTGATTTGGGTACTCCTGACTCCCCAGTTTTGTTAAGTGGGGCTTACCATTGTTGGTGGAGGCCTCGGTTGTTTCTGCATCTGTAGTAGGTCATGTACAGGTTAAAGTCGTAAATGATTGGTTTACATGGATGCATTATATGTATGTATAAAGTGTTTATATAAATTCAGGAAGAATCTTCACCTATTGTATATCAGTGTGCAGTCATAGTCAAAAGCCATATTAGAAAGTGTAGCGAAAATATAAGCCAAAGTGTTAAAACGTCTGGTGCATTCTCGTTTGGGTTTTGCATTACTTTGCAAGCTACATTTAGCCTGCTTCCAGTTTGGGAAATGTCCAGCTTCGTCTACGTTCGCAATTTACGTTTAGTCGTCAGACAGAGCAGCGACGCAACTGTTGTATTTGGGTACATGTTCCATATGATAAACATGAAATTCAGATATTACAATCTACAATCTGTTTTGTAATTGTGAATTTTGAATCAAATAAATTATTATAATATGGGGATATACCTACTTTCTCATTTGAACTATCTATTCATATAATAAAAGATACAACCAGACCTACCCACAGTGCACAGTATTTCGATGTATACTAGGACTGTGAATTAGTATGAAATACGGAAGATATTGGATTTATTGAATATAAATCCAATATGGATATTGGATTGAAGTTAAATTCAAACGGAATTTAACATTCTAACAGGGAATAGTATCTCAAGGCAAAAGATATGAATATGCATTTTGATTAAATTTTCAAGAAAACTACATTAGAATTCTGATGAATATTCATTCAAGTCAATCACTTCTATTCCGTTGTGAAGTGATTCATTTTAATTCAGTGTATTTTTCTCTATTAAAATGATTCACAATACACCTACTCTCAAAAATCAGTTTCGGAACACAGGATTTCCCAGAAGCAAAGCTAAGTCGCCATTCAAAATACAAAGTCAAGTATTTGCTAGTGTTAAATCGAGTTCAAAAGCTATTCACAGGCTGGGGTAAGGTATGTAAAGCTAGTCAAGAAAGTGTGTATAAAGTAATAGGAAGGACGTGTTTTTTATGGTTTAATTCAATGCCAGGTTGAGTTATAAAGCTATGAAGTTATGAAGTTAGTGTGTAAGTAAAAAGGAGTGACGTATATTTCCATGTGGCTTTAACTGATACGTGTGATTAAAGAGAAGTTTTATTCCCAGCGAATTAAGAAAATCAAGATTAATCGAGTGGAAAGCTGTTGGTAAAACTGGTATTCATATTGCTGCTAATAGGAGTCCCAGTGTGACAAGTAGTTTTATTATATAAGTCTTACCCGAGTCAGCAGCAGGAACTGTAGTGGTCCCTGCACCTGTGGTTGGTCGGATAGGAATCAGTGACCAAGAAAAAGACAACTTGACACTGTATCTACATGTCAGATTCTTGGTTGTATTGTTCTTCAGTGTGTGGATAGAACAGAGGTCGTCAGTTTTGAAGAACATTGTTTGTATAAAAAGTCTCAGAGAAATAAGTAAGATCCACATACATAAAAGATAAAATGTACCTCTTTCAATATTAATAGAAATGACATGTATGACAATAAGAATAAACAAACAGAAACACACACACACATAAACAACAACAACACACACAAAAGCATTTATACACACATGCAATAAAATCACATTGTATTTATCTGATATTTATTGGTCTTGCGGATGCCAACTTCTTGCAACATTCTAAGAAAATATCTTTAAATATTGTATTGGAAACCATTAAATCAAAACAGTGAAAGTATCCAATGAATATTTTGTAATAACCGATATTGAAAAACTAACCATGATTATTAGTTCAATTTTTAGAGATTGCATTTAGTAAGCGCTGCTGCTTAACCCATTCGCGACAAGTAAAAATGAAAAAAGGGGGAAAATGCTGTGCTCATTTTTCATATCTTTTGTGAAATGTCTCTACACATAGATGGCTCTGCCTTACCTGATTTCACCTTTACTTGAATTGGCGGGAAAATGCATTTTTTACTAGTGCTATGAATATCGATGATTATTTTCATTATAAACATTATAATTACTATAATCTTATAAGCATTAGTAACAACAAAATAATATAACGTAAGATATTTTCGTAAATTAAAGAAAAGTGTAGCCATCAACGTGTTAAAACAATTAAACAAGTAAACTCACAGTGGGCATGTCACGGATACGTGACACCCGTCGCGGATGGGTTAATATCCACTGGCAGAATGAAGTCGTCTAGTATTCATTTCCCAGAACAGACGTTCATCAGAAATCACGAGTGAAATTGGGAGAGCAACTCCGTATATTTATATCAACACTGCTCTTTAGGCCGTATAATTTTTAATCTTTACCAATTATTGTTTTTTCTTCCAAAAATGCGTGTCTAAATTTTCCATTCTTCAAGACAGACGAATGTTAATATTTTCTGTTGCAACTCAACACTTTTTGTTGCAGTGAGAGTATTCCAAAACAGTAGCTAGATTTTCGAGTTTTGCTTGATTTTGATTTTAACGGCTTGATAAAGGATGGTTGACACAAGAAATTCGCTATTAGAGAGGCAGACAATCAGCCTTACCCAGCTGTATAGGGCTTTACGGTATTAAGAATCAGTTATAAGACTCTGTATTTATATCACTCACATAAACGCGCGCGCATACACACACACACACACACACCTACACACACACACACCTACACACACACACACATACATGCATATACAACCGCATGTAACTTTGCAGACAGTCATGGTGTAAAGACAGCTTAATGAAGTGTGGAAGGGAAAGTACACGAAGAAAACGATATAACACAAGTACGGTCAGTTGGTGCCGTTGGAAAGTGGTGGTTCTTCGTTGTTTTATATAGCAGTCAGCAGACAAATTATTTAATTTGTGTGAAGTTCAGGGGAATGGCTACAGTGGGAACTAAAGTGTGAAGGGTGAAAGAGAGAACCTTTTAACGGCGTACAGTGTAATTTTAACAGTTGACTTTTACCAAAAAAACAAACAACAAAAAAAAAACATTGCCTCGCCCTGCTTGCAAGTGCCCTTGGTTTCGAGCTGCTCAAACAACCAATGCCAGAGAAACCACCCACATTAAAGCTTAACAGAGGCATTTATAACAGGCTAGTGTTGATCGTATATCACAAGGTGCTACGAGCCGAGATATCGCTGGAAGTGTAAAATATCTGTTTGTCCAGAATGTGTTTTGATAAAGCCAACACTGGTTGCGTTCGGTGCCCCTTACCGGCATTGGCAGAGGCCTGAGTGGTAGTTCCTCCATCTGTGATAATGCAGATATGGATTAGTATGTGTAATTAGGCCTAGGATCTGATTTATTTTTTTATAATTTGTGGATCTGAGTTACTCTGAGCGTGACTCTGTGGGGAAGTAAGGCAGTTGTCAAGTCCTGATGTATGTGGTCAGCTGCTTGACTATTGTCCAATTGTCTATGTTGATATTACTCTTTTATTACTGATGGTATTAACCTCTTAAAAGAAAACATTGTTACTATTAATTTATTGCGAATGCTGCTATTATTTAAAATCTTACTAACAAGAGAAATACTAAAGTATTGAAAAAAAAAAAAAATATATATATATACATATATATATATATATATATATATATATATATATATATATATATACATATATATATATATATATACATATATATATATACATATATATATACATATATATATATATATATATATATATATATATATATATATATATATATATATATATATATATATATATGCACGTTGGATGGGAGTGTTAGTGTGTATTCTAGTGTAAATATCCATGGGCATTTTTACATGTTGTTGTTTTTTTGTTGTTGTCTTACCGTTGTTTGTATCGGCATCTGTAGCTGTGCGTGTACCTGTGACAAGTCAGATATTGATTACTTGATTAGGGTTTGTACAGTGAAAATGTATTTGGCTGTCATGTTGCAAGCGTTTCTTTTTGTATATGGATTTAATTATTTAGGTTAAGTCTCAGGTTTAGAAATACTGAATTAGTGAATTAGTGCATGCCTTTAAGTGGTTTATTATTAAATATAGATTAATTATAAGTCGAACTAGTTAAGCGGTTTATTACCAATGTTAGATTTAATCATAGATCACAAGTAAAAAGTTAATGAATTAGTTAATGCAGAAAAAAATGTTACAAAAAAATAAAAAAATAAAAAAATAAAAACGGAAATGCAATTAACAATATATAATGGCACACTTTACGCTTACTTAACAAAACTTGTGTACTTTCAGAACTGTTACGGATAGCTGTGACGTAAAAAGCGTGTAGGCATTCGAATAAAACGTTAACGGTAATGTATTCAAATTATTTAAAGGGGGAAAAACGAAGAACGATCGATGGTAACTGGTAATTTAGAAATAATTTTTTTTCTGTATTATTATTACTATTATTATTATTGGTATGTTTGAATACTATTATCATTATTATCACTCTCATCATTATATTCATTATCGTAATCATTATTATTATTATTATTATTATTATCATCATTATTGTTGTTGTTGTTATTAGTATGATCAATATTCACATCATTATTACTGTCATTAGTTTTATATATTTTACTATTTTGAATATTCACCATATCTATTTATTAATCATGGGGGGTTATTATATTACGCGACATGAATTATAATTTTATGCGGAGCTGTTTTTCATGTGTAAACGTAATGACTTCGTATCTATTGCATTTTTTAGTGAACGGATAATCAAAAATATATTTCCATAAATTATGTAACAACATATTTAGAAGAAGAAAGAAGCGTGTAGCGCAGCATCAGTTCTTTGAAAGGCGTCGTCATATAAAGTGAACAAAACAGAAGTCAAAGAAACATTCAAAGAAGGTCCTCTGTCTTTGAAAAAATAAACTGACGTAGTATGCGATCGGTGTTGGGAAGAAGCTTTATTGGCAGAAAGAAAGAGCAGGTTTAAAGAGAGAAGGAAGCAGGTGTTGGTGTCAGGATTCGAGGCAAGAGCATCATTGTGTTATCTCAGGCATTTTGTGTATCTTACCGGAGTCCGTTTCAGTAGGCTGGGTGGTTGTGCCTCCATCTGCTGTTGGTCAAGTATAGGTTACTGACGAATATTGATATTTTTGAGAACTTTGCAGATATTTATTATATGTCTTTATGTTTTGTAGGATGTGTTTATTTGTGCAAGACAGGATAAAACTCCAAGGTAAAGAAAATCGAAAAAAGTCTTATAATTATAGGTTGTATGTTGTTCATAGCTGAGATAGATAAGCACAGAAATATAATAAAGAAACAAGATTTTAGTAAATAAAATAAGTAATTGCACTGATGATAGATGTCTGGAAGCAAGTTACAGTCTCAGAAAGAATTGTTGATAAACAGGTCAATGGGAAGATATTACTGAAGCTAAGGCGACTTTGCTAATGGATTTAGCATTTGTGATATAGATGGTACTAACAGAGCAACAGAAGCTAGTACAGCTGATACTTTTGGCACAGGTGGTTGATGATCATGATTAAGCTACAGGTATTGTTGCTTTGCTGATATTGCTGGACTTCAGAGCCACAGACAATATGGTTGTATGATTACTGTAGTAATGATGTAACAGCAACACTTACCCTTAATGATTGCAGAATGGTCTTCATCCGCAACGGATAATGGCGTACAGCAACTACATCTGCACTGACACTTTTGCATATATCTGAACCTGAAATACCTCTAAGGCCTTACCAACTGACTCCCCTGAGCAATGGCACTCAGTGAATGCTGGCCTCAGCTGTGGTCAAATTCTGGGTGGAAAAACACTGGTCACCCTTCTACATCATCCCGTGACTACTGATATACCTTAAAAATCATTAGGACACAGAATCATTTTTTTCTTCTGTCAAAGATAAAGTAGCTTTAGCGTATGTTTTAAAACGCATGTATGTCGAAAACGTAAATGATCTCTCTGATGTCACAATCACGTTCCACAATATACAAATGACATCCTAGTTTAGGGAAACTAGGTTACTTGACTTGAAAATCAGCGAAAACCTCGAAGAACCAAACGGTTTACGGAACCACACAATCACCACACACCATGATAAACAAAGGCAAACGGAGAAGATACGAAATACCACGACCCTCATTTCATGTTAGGACAGCAATTCCTTTAGACACGGACACATCGTACAAAATAACAACCCATTAGGACCAGAGCAGGTACCGTAGACATTTTCATGCAACACTTAACCTGTAGGGAAATTATTGGTAGACACTCAGACATCAATTTTGGTTCAGAACAATTCTATAAGGAATATTACTTCAAAAGGTACTTGTAAGTAGAAGAGTCTCTTGGACAAATTAAAAAACTTACTTCAGAGACAATTCAAAGTACACTAATATGGTTTCCGTCCAAACTAATGAGTATTAGTGAGGCGAGTCGCCATGAAAATGAAAGTTTTGTTGCATTTTTTCTAGTATTATCATCATATCAGGTAAATTTGTAAATACTGGAGAGAGTAGGGGTTGTGCTGGATACAGGTTTTCGAAAAAGGGTGTAAATGATAAGTTTGTTTTGTAAATGCTAAGCATAAGATTGCTTTGATAGTAAGAATAAATCCATATCGGGCTGGCATTTCTTGTACCAAAACAGGGACATCAGTGGTGTCTGTAATGCACATGGAAGTGGCATAGATCACCTACGTAACGCTGGCTTACAGTCGCATTGTCAATCACAGCCAAATCATCTGTGTGAGAGTACCAGCATCAGCTGCTGGGGTCAAAGGCGGGTCCGGAAGGGGCTGATCACCCTACCGCATCATCCCCCGGCTCAGCACGAATGTTCCTTAAGGAATGTCCTACTTTGTGTTCAGCTCTGACGCTTTACTGTAATACAAATGCTATCAACTTACCTCCGTTGGCTTGTGTATTGGTGTCAGCTGTAGAGGAGAAAGAAACTAATTAGAAGACGTAATGAAGGTAAGAAAGAAAATATATATATATATATATATATATATATATATATATATATATATATATATATATACTACTACTACTACTACTACTACTACTAAAAATAATGATAATAACAAATGTGGATGATTCCATTTGTAAACTAAAATATATAAAATAATTTCTGAACTACCAATGTAATGTTTTAAAGTTTATTATTCCATCATATATTTACAAACTTACCAGTTTGAGTGGTGGTCTCGGTAGGGTCGACGGTCACACCTAGAGGCAAACAACAATGGTTTTAACGACTATAGTTTAAGTATAACATACAAAGCATCTATATTTCAGATTAGCAAGTCACCCCCTTTCATCAGTTACATGGCCGAAATAACAAACACATAACCATAGTTTTAACTACTATAGTTTAAGTATAACGTACAAAGTATCTATATTTCAGCTTAGTAAGTCACCCCAAAACAACAAGCACATAACCAACACTCGTTTTCTTTAGCTGCGACTCACCCTGGGTCGAAATGCTATCGGCTTCCACCTGGTACCCGAAGGCGGTGCTGTTCTCGGTGACCGCTTTCAGGCCGTCCTCGACTGCTTTCTCGGCGGCAGTCTGGAGAGCATGTTATACAAGGGGTTTAAGGATGTTTCTTCAATATATCCTATATATTTGGGTTAATGTTATGTTCACATATGTTGAAGCACACGTGCGCGCTCGTATCCGCTCCACACACACACACACACATATATATATATATATATATATATATATATATATATATATATATATATATATATATTTTTTATATATATTGTATATATTATATATATATATATATATATATATATATATATATATATATATATATATATATATATTTATATATATAAACATATAGACATACACACACACACGTATTAGTATATATACATATACATACATATATATGCATGTTAATGTGTGTAGGTATTAATCCACTTGCTAATCCTACCAACAACCTTAAACAATAGAACATTAATAACACAACTTGGAAAGGTCAGAGGTCTCCTGGATTCCAAGAAAGGTCAGGGGAGGTTAAGGGAACGAAAAGAAAAGAAAAGAAAAGATAAACAGATCCACTTGCACTAACCTACCGCGTTGGTCAAAGGTCGTCAGAATTCCAGGGAAGGTCATAGCAGAAGAAAACGAAACAAATATAGAGAGAAGAAAAAAAGATATTTGAATGGAAAAGGTCAGTTTCCAGTCACTTTTGGAATTAGTAATTAGAACATAGCAAACCAAACATCATACTGAATAAACACATAAACAAATATATAAACATGACAAATATAAAATAAATGAACAAATAAATATAAAAAATGAAATAAAATAAAAATAAATATAAAAAAATGAAATAAAATAAAAATATATATAAAAAATGAAATAAAATAAAAATAAATATAAAAAAAATAAAATAAAAATAAATAAATAACAACACATAAAACATTCAAATTTCAAGAATCACCACCACCACCACCACCACCACCACCAACAACAACAACAACAACAACAACAACAACAAATACGTCAATTTCCCCTCTCCCATACAGCGTTCGTATCGGAGGAGAGTTCTACTGTGGCGTTGACGATGACAGACCCGCTGGAAAAGGAGTTGATGATAATGTCAATCTCGCTCTCACTGATCGACATCTCGCTTGCCAAGCCCGTCTTGAGCTGCGGAAGGGAAACTCGTGCAGTGGGTTTGTGTTGATATGGTTTAGGGTATGGGTTTTCAGGTACATATAATTACATGTGAGGATTGTTTATTGAGAGAGAGAGAGGGAGGAGAAAGAGAAAGAGAGAGAGATAGATAGATAAATAGATAGATAGACAGAGAGAGAGAGAGAGAGAGAGAGAGAGAGAGAGAGAGAGAGAGAGAGAGAGAGAGAGAGAGAGAAAGAGAAAGAGAAAGAGAGAGAAAGAGAGAGTGAAAGAGAAAGAGAAAGAGAAAGAGAGAGTGAAAGAGAAAGAGAAAGATAGAGAGAGTAAGGAAGAACGAAACAGAGATAAAGATTAATAAAGAGACAGACAGACAGAAAGAAAAAGAAAGAAAGAAAGAGAAAGAGAGAAAAGGAGAGAAAAAAAAAGAAAGAAAGACACGAAGGGACGCCGCTTGACCTACCTTGGTCTGAAGGTCTGACTCGAGGTCCTTATAAGCCTGTTTGGTTTTCGTCTCCAGGTCGGCTGTGTACTCCACATCGGTTAAACGCATAGTAATTTTCACCCTGGCTGGAATGGCGACGGGGGGGGGGGAGGTCAGTATATCGGGAAGAAATGATTCTGCATGTGATGATCTTAAGAATAGGCTGATTTTATGTTGCATTGTGGTTATATGCGGGGTATGATCATTTCAGTGTGGGATTATATATCGTTTCAAAGAGGTTGGGTTATTTCCTTACCTGTGACATTTGCTGTGAAGAAGGAAAAAAATAGAATTAGTTAATATAATCCATATTCATTTCTCATTTCTCATATAGATAGTGAATGGCTATTTTATTAATGTACTGACAATATGTACTTTTCTAAATTATACGAATAACTATTTCAAAAATTATTCAAAACCTCTAAAGCTATATATATATGAACAAATGCATAATACAGTTATGCAAAACTTCTAACAAGCTCAGTGGAAAATGAACCATTTATAATCATTCAATCATTTAATTTTGTGTATTATACTATTTTTTATAGTTTCTCATCCTAATTAGGCTTACTAATATTTACAATGTATTTTTCTACATTGTATATAGTCCCGAGTTTTTTCTATCAGGTCAATCATATTTAATCATGTAATTTCATCGTTTGTTAGACAAAAACACGAATAAACACAGACATTCTTGTGCATACCTATCTGCTTAACCACACGGTCACATGAGCAAAAACATATATACATGCACACACACACACGCACGCACACACACACACACACACACACACACACACACACACACGCACACAAACACAATAAACACACACACACACACACACACAGACCCACAAACACAAGAAACACAACCACACACACACACACACACACAGACCCACAAACACAAGAAACACACACACACACACACACACACAGCCGAAGGTCGCTGTCATTGTGTTTTGGACAGCGACAACCTGGACCCGCCATTTCTTTTTTACTTTTTTTACTTGAAGCTTTAAAGTTTGAAATGAACATAAATCTGGCAGAACCAAAAGGATATTCTTTGCATTTTAGCCTTGATATATTCTGCCTGAGAGAAAATAAGTATACTTTGCGTGTAACCTTGACATATTCTGAGTGAGGAAAATAGGTATATCTTGCATACCTAGTCAGCCCGCGTTACTCATATAATATAGTTTTGAGATAGGATAATATAAGTTTCAATCACTCCCCCCCAAAAAAAATAAATCCAATTCCTAATCAGCATAAATTTATGACGCAGTTACTTGTGTACAAAAAGGAGACGAAGACAAAATCCGATAAATAAGGAGGAAGGAAGCCAGTAAATCGTGATGTGTTCGTGACCGCCTCTCGCTTTTTATCGTCTGATTAAGAGTATAGAGTAGACTAGAAATGTCACGTGCTTTATTTCTTTCTTTTCTTATCATATTACCGATATTTCATTCTATGTCAAAACCGAGCTCGAGTGTGTCAAATGACAAGAAAGTTAAGCCAAAGACTAAGCCAAAACCGACGCTCGAACGGAAACATGTTTACATTCCCGGGCCCACACAGTCACCTCTCGTCACCCATGGCAAAACACACACAGGTATAAAACCCAATAGTTAATATATTTTCAAACATTCTTAGTGTTTTCCGTCATGTATTTATGACAAAATGAACTTTCATAGGATTATTTCGGACCCGCTGCTGGGTAGTGTGACGCGAGTAGATTCATGTATCGTGGAAATTAAGGCATTAAGTATAAAGATCTATTGAGCCGATAAACATATATTTGCGGTCTCAAATTACGATTTTCCCAAATCCTGAAAGGCATGAATAATAGAACAAAAAGGCGCTTGTACAAATATTCACATACAGACACGCATCATACACGAACACACACACACAAAATAAAAGCACACACACACACACACACACACACACACACACACACACACGTAGACACGAATATAAGTATTCAACAGGGTCGTGGTACCAGTGTTGCCATCAACAGATTGGTTGCCAAGTTTGACTAAGCTGTCATGTCATTGCTTTGGCCTTCCCCCCTCTTTTAAAGTCTTACAATCAACTCATTTATCTTACAAAGCAGTTCACTTTGCACTTTGAGCAAAATAATAATACACTCTTTTTTTTCTCTCGGGCTGTTTACTGTTATTGCTACCTGCGAGACCCTTTATAAACAGTAAGACTTAAAAGGAATTGGAAACACGTTGCTATGTAAGACTACGAATTTTGACTGATAAATGGGTAGGTAACTTGGCAAAGAAAGAGAGAGAGAGAGAGAGAGAGAGAGAGAGAGAGAGAGAGAGAGAGAGAGAGAGAGAGAGAGAGAGAGAGAGAGAGAGAGAGAGAGAGAGAGAGAGAGAAACAAGATAATGAAAAAGGTCACAGAAGAGAAGAGCAGTAAAAATC